CTGTCCAGGATGGGTGTGTTTTTACAGGTGTAGCCGGACTGAGCATGGTGGTGCAGGCAAGGGAAGAAAAGTGAGCAAACGTGCAGATACTAGCGGTGGGGAGGTGAAGAGTGTGTTTGATGGTACAGTGAACAGAGAAGTTGGGTTTGCAAGAAGGTTCCAGAGCAGGAGAAAGGGTCAGGAAAGGTCAAAAGGCCCCAGCCACACACACACACACATCAACCAGCTAAAGTACTAGGGGGCATACAGAGATAGACAACAGCACACACACACACACACACACACACACACACATGATATACATACAGACACCCACATGCAGACACATCTAGAAACCCCCAGGGGCTTAGACAGAGCCAAGGTGACACACACCCAGGCACACAGCAACATACAACACATACAGACTCAAAGAGACACATGGATATACAGACACACACTGAAACATACACGGGGACAAACAGAAACAAGAACATTAAGATGCACAAAACACAGACCCACAGGGACCAAACAGCCAGACACATGTGCGCGCACATGCACACGCCACAACCACATGGGAATATAGGCCGCCCTTCCCTCTTCCAGTTCCTTGATTGCTGTGAGGGCCTGGCTACCTCCTCCCAATGTCCCTGGACCTAAGGCCAGAGCAGCATGGGGGTGGTTGCTCCACCCCCGGGAGGGGCTGGGGACTTCAGAGGACAGGAAGGGAAGGGAGTGGAGCTGCAGCTGGGAGCACTGGGGGCAGTAATTACCCAGTGCTGGGGCTGCCACGCTGGCTGGGATTTCCCTCCCAGTGAGGACAAAGCCACTAGGGGATGGCCCCTGTGACCCTAGCTGTGTGTGACCCCAGGGACCCCAAACCCACCCATTTCTCCCCTCCTTCCCCGGTCACCAGAGGCCTGGTCGGACTTGAGAGTTGGCTAGAGAGAGATTATGAAGGCAAGAGACTGGGACAAAGACAAGGAGGGAGAAGACAGGAAAACTAGAGAGCCAGAGAACCGGACAGCTAGAGAGGGAGACAGACATCACAGGGGCAACTCGGAGGGAGATGGGGGCCATCTGTTGAACGTGGCTACAGTGTGCATTTAATCCTTACAACACCTAGGTGGTGGGGATGATCACCCCATTTTCTAGATGAGAAAACTGAGGCGCAGAGAGTTGAGGTCCCATGAAGCTGGAAAGAAAGTGGCAGGACCGGACCTGGGGGGCTCTCCCCACTGCCTGACCCTGCCAGACCCACGGGGCGCACACAGAGACCTCTGAAGGGACTCTCCCCGAGACAGCGAGCTACGAGGTGTGCAGGCTGGAGGCCCTAAGAGATGCACACCGTCCCTGCCCCCTCCCGGCTGCCCGGGTGGGGGAGGGGCCGGGTCCACACCTGGAATGCATACTGCCAGTCCTGCCTTTCCCGCTTTCTCCAGACGCCTTCCGTCCATGACTTAACCCCTTCCGTGCACGGGCCACGATGGCTAGACGCTCCCAGCACCAGGCGGAACCTGCAGCTCCCTGTCTGGGCCTCTGCCACACACCTGTGCCCCTCACTGCCTGACTCTGGGGCCCCAATGGGCATAGCTGATGCCCACTGGGCACTGACACCTAAATGCCCATCTCCAGGCTCGGCAGGCTCTGCACCCCAAACCACAGCCCTGCTCCAGCCCCTGGATGGCTTGCCCCATCCTGCCTGCCCCATCCTGGGATGGCACCTCCATCCACCCAGCTCCCCAAGCCACAGGCTGGCTTTCTCCATGACTCCTCCCTCTCCCTCTACTCATACATCCAGCCCGACCCCAACCCTGGAGACCGGACTTCGCCTCACTCAACAATCCATACATATTCTTTCACTCCAGCCTAACTCACTTTTCCCTCCCATCCTTAGAGCCCTCTGCAAGGCACTCAGCACCACAGCCAGTTTGTGCAAACGGCCCTCTCCGGTTTCTGCAGCCCCCACGAAGGGCTCCCTTTGCTTGGACTCCAGGGTGAACTCCAAACTCCTGAGCTTGGGGACCAGTAAGGCCCAGTTCAGGAACATTCCCCACCCCCACCCTCCAGCCACAATGGCCTCTTGTCTGTTCCTCGAAAGTGCTCTCTTCCGCCTGGGGCTTTGGCACATGTCGCTCCCGTGGCCCAAGCGAGCAGCAGTTTCTGCCTCTCCTTACCTCTGGACCCCTACTTTCCCTTCAGGTCGCATACAAGTGTCCTGTGTCCGGGCCTGCCCCCTCCTACGTTCCTGCAGCATTTGCACTTGCCATTAGTCGTGGTGTCTGTCGTCCCTGCTAGAGAGGAGCTCCACCAGGCTAGGGATCCGCGCCTGCCTCAGTGCCCATCCATTACCTCTCCCAGGACCAAGCAAATAGTAGGTGCTCAATAAACGCTTGCTAAATGAAGACATGCCCTCCTTGCTCCCCTCTGTCACTCTTGCTTAACCACTCCCCAAGTGTGTGTGTGTATATATACACATACATACACACTGTTATACCAATCAGAGTCGATGACCGGGTGCAAGGCTTACAAATGGGGAAACTAAGGCCCCAAGGGGAGAAGGGAAGTCTGGGGGCGCGGCGAATCCATGGCAGAGCCAGGAGTGCTGAGGTTTTTTCAGGTTTTTTCGCTGCTGCCCTGCAGCCTTGTCTCCAGCCCTGTGTGTGTTTTGAGGCACCTTTTGGAGGTGTGATACCTCCTAGGTCCAAGGAACTGGGTATTGGAGACGGGAGCAACTCACGGCCCCAAGGGTATCTGCTCTCTCCAGATGCAGGAACTGAGCTCTGAGGGGCAGGCCAGTGGCAGATTGCGCCTCCTGCCCCCATTCCAGACAGGTCTTACTTAGCCCCACCCAGCCAGCGTCTGGCCAGCTCCACATCTGCCTAAGGCATTTAGCGGCCTGGCCCCCAGAAAAGCCCGGTTTGAGTCCCTCTGGGGAACTGTTAGCTGCCACTCCCCCTGGAGGCAGCAGGTAGCACCAGCTGGGCCCTGCCCCGGGGGACAGAGGCACCTGAAGGGGCGGAGGAATGGGGGCGCCAACCACCTGCAACTTGGACACTTCAATTCTCTTAGTCTTGTCACGGGAAGTCCTTCTCCCAGCTACCCAGAGGCTTTCCATTTTGTTGTGTGTGTTTGGAAGGCCCCCGGCTGTTGGTCTTTTCTCAAGACACTCCCCTGGAATCTCCAATTCTCCAAAAATCCCAGCAGAGCCCACCCCCTCCTGTGCTGAGTCCCCCCCTTCTGCTTACCAAAAGCAGCCTCCTTCTATGCCTCTCAGAAGACCCTCCACAGAGAGAACCCCTACAGAGCCACAGGAATTCAGGAGTACCCCCTCAGTTCTTGGCAGTAGCCACTACCCTGGGTGTCTGCGAAATGGTCTTTGCTTTATGCAAATATCCTTTAAAAACGGACCTCTAAAGGCATTGCTAAAGCAAAGTCTGGGCAGGTAGTGCATGATCTACCCAAGCAAGCATGACTGCCGCCTCGCTATCCATGTCTTCAAGGCTGGGACTGGCCCCCAAAACCATGAGCGGTTGTGTGGTTCGGGGTAAGCGCTGGTGGTGAGAATGCTCAAATATCTCTGGGCAATATCTCTCTTCTGAGCTTCCCAACCCGACTGGCCACCTCCAACTGGATGCCCGCCCCCTCCCCCGAGGCTTCTCAGACTCAACACATCTCAAACACAACTCAGGTCTTCCCCCCAAACCTGCACCTACTTCTAGATCAGTGGTTCTCAACCTTCCTAATGCCGCGACCCTTTAATACAGTTCTTCATGTTGTGGCGCCCCCCAATTTCATTGTTACAAATTGAACATAATGAAAGCATAGTGATTAATGAATAGTAATGTAACTATCTGATATGCAGGATGTATTTTCATTGCTACAAATTGAACATAATTAAAGCATAGTGATTAATCACAAAAACAGTATGTAATTATATATGTGTTTTCCGATGATCTTAGGCAGCCCCTGTGAAAGGGTCGTTCGACCCCCAAAGGGGTCGCGACCCACAGGTTGAGAACCGCTGTTCTAGATGGTTCCACCACCACCCACCAGAGGATTCTGACCTCTCCCTCTTCCTCAGCCTCTGTACCCAAGCCACCACCAGGGCCTGCCCAGGTTAGCACCAAAACATCTCTCAGATCTTACCCTCCTCGCCTGCCACTGCTCAAACCGAAGCTACCTGCTTTTCTCCCTGCTTCCACTCTTGCACCCTTACCATCCGCTCTGCACATACAGTTGTGGGAATCTCTCAAACACTCACATCTGAGCACATCATTCCCTTGCTTGGTAAACCCCCAAGGGTCCCCTCTTGCCCTCAGCATAAACTCCCTTTGCCAGCTTTATCTATCTGCTCCTCTCAATACCAGCCCCCGTGCCCAGGATGCCCCATGTCTCAGTGCCTTTGCTCCCACTGAACGTCCTACCTAAATGCCCTCCATGCTCCTCCCAGCTCTACAAACCTTGCTGACACCCCTCCAGACTTTCCTTAGGACCAGGCCCTGTGCTGGGCGCTGCTGATGCCTAGAGTCCCAGAACTGCAAGTGCCTTCCAGCCTGAACTGCCAAATGGCAGGCATTCATGAGAGCTGGGCATAGAGGGTAAACCGAGGCAGCCAGGGTTTGTGTGTGTGGGTGAGGGGCTGACTTAAGTTTTGTAGCTTAGATCTTATACCTCCTTTTATTGAAAATATGTTTTTATTGATTTTGAAAGGGGGGGGGACAGAGAGAGAGAGAAAAAAACATCGGTGTGAGAGAAACACTGATCATTGACGGTTGCCTCTGGTATGCACCCTGACCAGGGATCGAACCCACAACCTGGGCTTGTGCTTTGACCTAGAATCAAACCGGCGACCTTTTGGTGCACAGGATGATGCTCAACTAACTCAGTCCCACCGGCCAGGGTCCATGCCTTCTTTTGGGGTTGGGAGGAGTGAGGGAGGCCCACAGAGGCCCCAGGGAGAAGACCTCAGAGGGGAGCCCTGCGCATCCTCCTCGTCCTAATGATGCTGACTCCCTGTAGGACCATGGGTAAACTGCCTCTCTGGGCCTCCACTGCTCCAACTGGGAAATGGGCTTGCCCAGTGGTTCCTAGTCTAGGCTGTGTATCAGAATCACTTGAGGGAGTTTTGAAAAGATATTCCTGAGTTGCAACCCCAGGATTCTGGAGCTCTGGGGTGGAGTCTGGGAATCACATTTATTTTTTCAAAGTCCACAAGAGATTCTGACGCTCACCCAGTTTGGGAAACCCAGGAAATGTATCTAGAGCCTTTCCAGTTCCAATCCTAAGTCCTAGGGCAGTGATGGCGAACCTCTGACACGCGTGTCAGAGGTAACACGCAAGCTCATTTTTTTGGTTGATTTTTTCTTCGTTAAATGGCATTTAAATATATAAAATAAATATCAAAATATAAATCTTTGTTTTCCTATGGTTGCAAATATCAAAAAATTTCTATATGTGACACGGCACCAGAGTTAAGTTAGGGTTTTTCAAAATGCTGACACGCCGAGCTCTAAAAGTACACCATCACCCTGGCTGGTTTGGCTCAGTGGATAGAGCATCGGCCTGCGGACTGAAGGGTCCCAGGTTCAATTCCGGTCAAGGGCATGTACCTTAGTTGCGGGCACATCCCCAGTGGGGAGTGTGCAGGAGGCAGCTGATCGGTGTTTCTCTCTCATGGATGTTTCTGACTCTCTATCCCTCTCCCCTCCTCTCTGTAAAAATTCAATAAAATACATTTTTTTAAAAAAAGGTTCACCATCACTGCCTTAGGGTCTCTGAGGGTGTCCCAGGCTCCAAATCCGAGAGAGCCAGCTCCACTTGCTGCCCCTTCAACTGGCTCAGTCCTTGCACTACCCACAAAAAATCATCAGGTGCAACTCTTTCCACCGAGGGAGAGTCAGGCCCCAAGTGCCACCCCGTACCCAGCATCTGGAAGGATATTCTAGGCCTGAGAAATAGGGTAGGTTTCCCCCCAAATCTCTATGAGCAATCCTACCCCTGGGAACTCCTCTCTGACTCTCTCAAAGCCCTCTCTGGCATTTCACTGGGGAGGCTGTAGGTTTTATCAATCTGGGAAATGGGCACATAAACAATGGCCCCACCCCTACCAGGAACCAGGATAATTAAAAGAGAAAGCACTTCAAAGCAATTCAAGCCTCTTCACATGGATGATACAAATATTTTTTAAAAACCCCTCTGCCCAGAATGGGCCACTGGGTCCTAAGGATGGCGAGTCAATAAAGGCCTCAGCCGTCTGAGAGAGGAAGTTGGCAGGCACACAGAAGTCTTAACATGTGGACTAAAATGTTTCAACGCTTTAATTGAAGCTCAGGACTCTCCACCCCCCCTTTTCACACACACACACACACACACACACCTACCAACCCTGTCCTCTCTCTGGGCCAATTATAGGCAAGTACTATGCAAAGAGAAGCAAGTCACTTGTGCCTACCCCTGAGCCGGCTGGGCAGTGGAGGCGGGCCTCTCACGCCTCATGCTGTTGTGAATCACATGGCCGAGCACCCGCCTTGCCAGGGCCTGAGTAATTCCTCCGCCCCCTCTTTAGGTTTTCCTCTTATTTAAAAAAAATAAATTTCATTCTGCAGGCCTTGCACACCAGTATCTCCTAGATGCCTCATGGCATTCTCTACATCAGTGGTTCTCAACCTTCTGGCCCTTTAAATACAGCTCCTCATGTTGTGACCCAACCATACCATTATTTTCGTTGCTACTTCATAACTGTCATGTTGCTACTGTGATGAATCGTCATGGAAATATCTGATATGCAGGATGGTCTTAGGCGACCCCTGTGAAAGGGTCATTCGACCTCCAAAGGGATCGCGACCCACAGGTTGAGAACCGCTGCTCTATATGAAGAAACAGAGGCTCAGATAAAGGAAGTCACTCACCCAGGGCCACACAGTGAGTCAGTTATGGATGGCTGGCAGGGAGGCTAGGTCCTTCCCTGACACCCTTCTTTTTTTTTTAAAATATATTTTATTGATTTTTTTTTTTACAGAGAGGAAGGGAGAGAGATAGAGAGTTAGA